ATTGTAATCAGTCGTTTTTCATTTTCTAAATCAGTACGGCACGAAACCTTCGATGCGATACACACAATCTGGAGTTCCGAGAAACGAAAGTGGACGCTGCACCAAAGCTTAATGATCACATAACATGGTACCTTTTCATGATACTATAACTACATACAACTAGATGGTACGAGCAACGGTTACACCTAAAAAGCAAAATATAATGCGATATTGTTGTAGAGCAACAAGAAAGGATATTATCATATACGGTCACCCTCGGAAGCTACATCAGCCATGGTKGATTTAGGACCGCAAGTTCGGATTGCACGCGGTTTTCAAAAAGGTTCCCTCGTTCTCATCTCAAAGTTCCCATGTCGCAAGTGCAAATGATCCGTGTTAGCAGTTATTGATGCCCTCGTGAAAATAGACAGCACAAGTTGTTCGTGTGTASATCTACCATGGTTTCAAGGGCGCCTTTTCAATCGTCCCTTCTATCGTATACCAGCATATTTCATTTCTCTCGGTGCGTTAACGTGCTGTCACTCCATCACGTGGCCCCTCGGGCAGGTTTGGAACGATGAACCCCACTGGATCTATTCGTTCTTGCTTTCAAACGCATTCATTGTGTTGTGTTGTCTTCTGTTTCATTGCGTTCCTTTTCCTTCCATCATACAAAGCTTTACCGGCTCTGTTCTTGGATGAACTTCGACCACTGTTCCAGGATCCCCTCACTCCCATACCAGGACCGCCCCTGCTTGTGGTCCTCCGTCAGTTCCGGTGCCACAAAGTCCCCGCCAAATACGTCCGACCAACAAAAGTGGTGCGTCGTGCCCTCCAGGACCAGGGATTCCGACCCCGGCAYGTCCAGTGCCGAAAAAGTGGGGGTCACGCCGTCTCCGTCGTAGCCGGTCCCATCGGTCCCCTTCGGACAGCAAAAGCTGTAGGCGCCCTGCGTCAGGCTGCCCCATTCGCCACCCTTGAATCCGGAGCCGGCAACCGCCAGMGTCCGGACGTGTTGGATGCGGTCGTGCTCGTTTTCGGGTTGGTTGATCCAGGAAATTCCCTCAAAGGCCGGACCGGGAGCGTTCGAATGGGGGGTTCCCAGGGTGACCAGTGAGTGGATATATTTGGAACCCTCGTAKGCCTTGCCTCCGTAGGGACTCGAACTGAGGTAAACCCGGCTAATCCATCCACCGGCGCTGAACAATCGATTTTGGTGGTAGGCAAGAGAGAGGGCAGAAAACTGAGTAAGACAAACCCGGAACATTTTCKACGAGGTGGATCCATCTCGTTCGGCACGCATTGCGCCATACGCACCTGTGTCCGATGAGCGCAATCTTTTTCTTCGGCTGCRTTCCATCGCCCCCTTTCCGAAAGGATWMTGGCGGCGGAAAGTCACCGCGGGGTTCCACCACGGGATATTCGTCGACCCTGGACGATCCCCCGACCTTCGAGACGCCCCCGGGGTTGTTTCGAAAGTCCATCCAGCAGTCCCACACCGAATACTTGTACTTGGGAATATTCAGAACAGCGTTGCTCGCAATGATGGGATTTCCCGTGTTTTCGTAGTTGGCAATTATGTGCTTGACGGCAAAGTCGATCCTCTCGAGGATGGGCCGAGCGGACCTCCCCCCGAGGCAGGGCAGCCAGTGCCAGTTTGGCATGGGGACCGCGACGGTGGGGATCCCCYGCTCGGTCAGCGCCTTGCAAAGGGGTTCGAATTCGTCAGCTCCCGTCARAAACCCGGGCACGATGACGGCCGCCGCCACATTCTCGAAAGGTTCATTGCTRTCGYTGYCGTTGTYGTTCGAGGACGAGAACACCGCAGTGGGAGAGCGGATGCTCTTCAATGTAGATGKTACCGATAGCGGAGAGACCACCACAAATGCCAGGCACGACGGCCAAAAGTGRGCCACAAACAGAAAGGYGACGAGTGTCCGGCATCGACTTCGATTGTTMTGGTTGTTATTTCTCATGATTCACGTGATGCGTTTTGTTTCCTAATCCTCTCCCTGCCTAAATGATGGGCTAATCGTATTCTGTTTGTATCGTATGGTGCAACAAAAATAGTTGTGTTCGATGCAATTGAAGGCCAGGTAACTTGTCTATACACTCGCAGTCATAGTGGGACGCAGACTATCCGACATGTTGTCTACAGATACCTCTCATCCGAATCATGGGGAGGGGGGGGGCTGGTCTTCGTTTTGGGAAGCGCCTCTACTCGGCTTCTCGTCAAAAGAAATCTAGAACAGAAATCGTTCCAATAAAAATCTGTTGTCGTCGGCTTTGTCATGTCTTCGTTCACTTTTTGGTTGCGTGGCAAAACAAGCCGAAAGATTTTCGCGCGGTGAAAAWTTTTATCGCGCAAGAAACAACAACGGTCTGGCCTCTGCCCTCCGGAATATGCTGCGACTACGACTAGTACTCGTACCTACGTACGATACTTTCAATTCTGGGACCTGAAATACTACAGTAACTTCTACGTAGTAGTAACTTCTTGTCAATCCTTGGTTTTGGTCGTTAGAAATCGTTACGCGACCAGAAGAAACGAGCGAGGTGGTCTCGAACGAAAAACCAAATCCACAGTTACACGCAGGATTCCCGTACCAGGAAGGATTTTGCCGGTAACCACAACATCCATCCTCCAACGTTTTTTCCCTCTGCCGAAAACTATATYATTCATTCACCASAGACTACCGCCGACAAAGTACCCCACAAATTGCTAGCATATTTTACAACCCTTCCRCCATGAGATCTCAAACATCTTACTCTATCTATGCATGTGCCGCATTCCTCTCGTTGGTGACCAGCGGTTCTGCCGAGTCGACCGGCAAGCCRCAGAGTATGCACGCCACAGTCCGCCGCTTGCAACAAACGCAAAAACAGAAGCAGCAACAAACCATCCAAGTCGACRCCGACGACGARAACGACAGCAAGACCTGCATTATCGATGGCGATGTTAGGTGCACATCGACCTATTATGTGTACAAAGAATTCGAAGACGGTGGTGTCACGTTTGCGCAGGCACGGGCGGCAACCGGCTACGATGCCGACCTAGAAAGCTGCGTGCTAGCTCCCATTTATTCCTACCAGGATCTGCTGGACATTTCCGATGTGATTCCGCCGTGCAAGGCTGCGTACACGGCAGCGTACAAAGATCCCCTCACTGTCTACCGTGAATCGAAGACCTGCCTGGACGACGGCCGCATTCCCTTCAACTGCGACTTTTCCACACTCGGAGGAACACTGGGTGCGTTGTGGGGGGACGAGTATCGGTCGGTAACCACCCAAAAGATGGGTGAATTTGGCTCGTGCTCTCTTTCGGAGTGGTTTGGAGACGGCGAATTCATTGCGGGGGGCCAYGTCTGGTGCCCCGCCCTGCGACAGAACTGGTTTAACCTGGGAARCAAAAAGGASGGGGGCGCAATCCCACCCGAGGTTTGGAACGAGGGCGATTCGTCCTTCTGCGGGGACGGACCGATCCAAAATGCCGCTGCCGCCTTCGCGACGGATTATACCTCTTCGAAGCCGACCGCCGCCCTCAAGGCAGTCAACAGCGGAGAATATTTGCCTGGAGCCGTCTACAAGTGCTGCCAGGACGTGGTTACTTGCTACGAGGGCRAATAATTGGAATGGAATTTTGAGATTGCCTTTCAGAAATTCTTCAGAGCTGTAAAGATGGCGAAAAGAAGACGTGTACAGCWTGATCCAAGGAACTAGTCTCTGATCTGTAATAATAAAAATGTTGTATTATCAAAAATATCAATATAATACTTTAGCTCGTAGGACCAGGCCCAGACTAAGCCAAAATTCGTCGCTCTAGATTTTCCACCCCACACAATCAGAAGATAGCTAGCCATGTGAAACCCTAGGGTTAGGTTTAATTAAAAGTTTGCTTTCATGTAGGTTTTTCCTATTTGCTGCCTATGACTTATCGGGGTATCAGTGGTTTCTGCAYATTCAGAGACTGACATGGCAACGTTGTGCCGTATGAATGACGACATAGCCCTTCAGATGTCGTTCTTGAAGCGGGAAGTGGTGTAGAAAATCGGGATCGAGGTTCATCTCGGTGCCATAAATTSCGCCGATATGATCGTCGTGTAAGGAAAACCCTAAGGGGGACATCTATTTTCTGGGAACATATCTGTGCAGCTTGACCGGATTTTGAAGGACATGGAAAGAAATTCCGGAGTATCATGATRCCAGCCCCATCCTGTGTTCATCATCTTTCCTATCAATTCTTTAGTAGTTTGCCGGTGCGTAAAGAAATCCAGAAAATGGACTACTGCCGTCAAACTTGATGCAGTAGATAGAATACATCATAGCTAGCAATGCTTACTATGGCTCCTCATATTCCAGCTCTAACCACGAACTACATTTTCCTCTATGAATTGCAAGACACGTCTGGAGCAACACCTGCTTCCGATTCAAACTTCTCAAGATAATAATATTATTACTGTGTCTTGTCCCTACGAAAGAACGTTGAAATAACAACTTTTTTATTGGCGTCTCAMGTCAGCAGTGCTGAATTTTTTAAACTACCAAGTACCGGCCCATTCATTGGCAGTAAAAGTGTCAAGTCACGACGAGAAARGTTACTGGAGCCAATGAGATGAACTAGATGATGGAAGCAACTGTTAAAATCAGTTGCCCCTGCAGTGCGATARGGCGCATACCAATCTTTTTCTCACTTTCTCCAGTACATGGTACAGGTACTTACTTTACTTACGTTTTCGCGTATCACTCGATTTCTCTCAACAAGACGGAAAAAGTACGAATACCCACGAACAAAAGAATGACACGTATCGTGAGCAAACAATTAATTAATTCACGWATTCGTGTGAAATAATTCAGGACGAATAAAAAATAAAAAACGTTCGCTATTTTACTTGTCATATTGCAATACTACGTCACATACGAATTAAAAAATGTCTACTGTCGACAGCTAAAAACAAGATAGTAATCGTGCTAAAAAATATATCATGCCTGTATCTTGTCGGATGCTCTAAAAATAAATATTGTCTTGAATGATCTTGGTTGCGCTTCAYATCGAGAAACGACCATTGCATGTTTTGCATTCTTCTTKTTGCTCCATGGRTACAGATGCATTGAGATCCGAATGCKTTAGGCTCATAAAACAAATATTGAAAAGAAACCTCAACTACAATCACATAAAACAAAAACAAGAATTAAATCATGAATCTGTCACACTATGTTCTCACCCTCGCCATCGTCTCTGGAGTTGCATCGGCAAACGATTCTCAGGGATGCTGTTCATTGGATTACAAGGATTGCATCAGTTGGTGTGGCTCAACATATGACTCGTGCGTAAATTGTGGAGGCTCAGAAGGTTGGCTTCCTAATGGTGCCGCAYCTCCTACCTGCRGCAAACGATGGACTGGCTGTGAGGAGAACAATGGTRCTGGTCACAGTGGATGCTGCCCTGGTTTGACTTGCCAATCAAATGGTGGTGGCTGGAAGTCATGTTTGCCTGGCAACAATAGTCCAGTGGACCCTACTCCTTCCCCAGTGGCTCCTCCCACTTCCYCYCCGACTCCTAGTCCGGTGKCTCAACCTGTTTCGTCCCCAGTCTCTTCGCCCACTGGTGGTGGCGGTGGCAACAATCCCACACCTGGCAAAGCTACTTTCTATGATGGAAACCCAAGCGGTGGAGCATGTGGGTACAATGATCTTCCCCAGRTTACATTTCCAATGGGATTCTCGGTGGCCATAGGTGGGGAGGAATTCGACAATGGATATGGTTGCGGTGCTTGCTACGAAGTCACCTGTGTGGGAGGCTATGGAGACAATCCARACTGCCTTTGTGGGGACTCTGGACAGAATACTGTTATTGTTCAGGCCACTGATCTGTGCCCAGGATGCAGTACGACCCATTTTGATCTGAAMACCAATGCATTCACTGAAATTKTGAAAGACCAATCCAGTAGCATGGCTGATACATGCGGAGTTCTGGAAACACAGTTCCGCCGTGTGAGTTGTGAATTTAATGACAACATCAAGATTCGTTCCAAGAGTGGAACTTCAGGATATTGGTATGGCCTACACATTGACGACGTGGCTGGATATGGAGCCATCCAGAGCATTAAGTTAAGGGAAGCGGCTCTCCGAGAAGTTGGTCAAGATTCCTTTGACATTGTGTGCGACAAATCAATGGGAGCATCCTATTGGTTCTGCAACCGCCCTGACGGTCGYGTACTTGAAGCCCCATTGGATGTCYACCTTACTGACAGTGCTGGACGCACACTGCAGAAAAACAATGTGATCACTAACCTTGATGGCGATCAAGAATTTGATTTCAAAACAAATTTTGGTCCSATTGACGGAAGCAATCCATCGTACCTCAGAGGACGCGCCTAAGAAAACTGGGAACAACGATAGAAGACAATACATACTATACACTTACAAATAATAAAATAAATAAAAGAATCGTATCATGACTTGTGTTAGCAATTTTTTATGATCAAATTGGAAGCCAGAGAGTATGCCTAACGTAGATTGATTACGCCAAGTAAAGGCATCGTTATCGAGCCTTCGATGGTGGACTTGTAGAGAATGATAATGTATTCAGRGAAAACAAGCWCTGTTTAAGTTGAATTACTTATGTTTCCAGAAGAATCGGTTGCTACAATATCGATATCATTAATTATGGAGTCGCAGATATTTATGATGGTACCAAGCTTCTTCCTGTGTCATCTATTTGTACGGCTGGGAGAGGAATTGTATATGAAGGTTTCATCGGGTGTGAGGTTTGACTAGTTCTCCACTATCAACAGTTTACGTKATGGGCAACTAACGGAAGAGATGCTATCCGATTTCCTCCGATACTTGTTGTGAACTGTACTGATGCCGCATAGAAGAAATGAGTCGTGGTGGAAGAGACCAGTATCTAACTTGTAACAATTGAAATATTGTATCACACTTTACAGATTGCACCGAGTCTATTTTCCAAGCTGATCGATCAATTCTCTYGTCTTCGCTTCCCATACTATTTGGTTTTCTTCCAGCGTTTTCCCCAGCTCAGCAGCATACATGACTGGTGGTATTTCTGGTTTTCCATCTAGATCTTTTCCCAGATCGGAAAATGTTCTCTTTCGTATTCGTTCCATTGCCGGGGTCCCAGAGCAACGGTCAACACATTCTGGAATTTACAGGGCGAAGCAGTTGCCATGATCGCTACGGCTGTGTTCTTATTGTTGTTGTTGACTTGGCTGTTATTGTACCCCAATTTTTCAGCGGCTGCAAAGGCGACTCCCGTGTGTGGATCAGCCCAATATCCATAGTCCTCTAGCACACGGCGAATGGTGACACAGAGCTCGTCGTCGGTCACCCTGGCCGACTTGAATTCTGCTTGCAGCTGGTTCCACCACCGCTGGGATGTTTCGCTTAGATCAAACCACCGGCTTTTTGCGTCGCCGCCTTCCAGCTTTTGGTACCAATTTCTCACCTGCTCGTGGTCCCCACCCGTCGCGTAAAAAAGYAGCCGTTCGAGGTTGTAGGGGAGCTGGATGTTGATTGCATCACTCAGAGAGGGTTTCATGGTGTCGGCCCGTTTCACAAGACCCGTGCGGAACGTGCGGTCGGTAAAATCGTTGACATTGACGCCCGCGCACATCCTTCCAAAGGGAATGCCCAATTTTTTGGCCATATACTGTTGTTTTCGTACGKCGGATGAAGCGAAACCAACGCCCGGGCCAGGATATCGGTACAAAACGAAGTAAGAAGACGGTATTTTGSATTGTATGCACGCGATAATTGGCATTTTGCATTTTTCTTGTGTGTCCGGTTTCGATAGATCAAGCCAACAATKATATTCGACTCACACACCCGGCAAGATTGCCCATAGCCCCAGTGGGGATAACGATGTCCAATCGGAACGTCCCGTGGTCGATTGGTTYCCCCGTTTCTTTCTCGATGTATTCTAYGACCCGCAGGTAGGTCCAAACGAAGTGCACCATTTGCATCAGGGGCCTCCCGATGTTGTAGGAATTCACCCCGCACACCACCACACCGGGGTCCCTTTCATCGCCRCCGCAGCTGCTCGTCATGATGCGCTTGATGGGACGGTCCATGTCATCCCCACCGCCCTCGAAGGAGACAATCCGGACGCGGTCCGATTGCACCGTCGTCATCTGCTTGCGCTGAAAGTCGGAGATCTGACCCTCAGGATAGTGCACCACGATTCCGAGGCTTGGGCTGTTTCGGTCCTGTACGGCCCGAACGGCCGCGGGCCCCGTGTCCCCCGTGGTGGCGGCCGTTAGGACCACCTTTTTGGTCCGGCCTGCGTTGCTGCTTGCARTCCCATTGGTCTGGGYGGRTTTGTTGGCAAAATAATCCAAGAGATTGATGGTTGCCCTCATCCCCAGATCCTGGAGCGGCAATAGCGAAGCGGCCGTCCACCATAAAAGGAGGAACAGGTACCAGAACAAATGTGAGCGCTGCTGGATAAACGAAACAGGTGTCACAGCACCATATATTTGCTCCTACTCCGCTGTTTTCTGAGACATACCTTGAAACAATATGTTGGACCGTGGAAGAGTTCGGCAACGTAGCAAAGGGTSCCATTCTTGTCGCCACCTTTGTTGGTGGCGGTGTTGGTWTGTTTCGAAACGAGGGGCACGACGGGAACCAGATTCTTGTCGTTCGTATCGAATCCAGCCAGGGCATCCCGCAGCAGGGCTTTCAATTCATTCYTGGCAATGGTCTCGGTGCCGAGAAAGGGGTGTAGAACCTCGGTTGCCAGGTCGAGGTAGCCAAGGCCTGGCCATTGGTCGGAAAGCACGGAATTCTTTGTCGTTGTTGGTGGAAACAGTATTTCGGAGGGCAGTTCCTCGGGAACGAAGAGACCGCCATCAGGAGCATAACCAGAGAAGAGGGCTTCTTCGAAGGTGTAAAGTTTTGTAGGGTCTCGGGTGGACTTGTACTTCATACTAGGAATGATGTGGGTTGCGCSCCCTATCGCTTTGGTGTTCTTGGCTTTGGCAGCAACAACAGCACATCAGGATGCCTGTGGATGTTCTGTTTGTTGTTACTAAGATAGTTTTTCCTCCTACCGGTACCGGTATGATTCTCTTAGGTCGTGGAACTCAAGTCACGAATGATTTCCTGTGTCAGCAAGCAAAACACAAACCAAGTAAATCACGAGTAGATACCGGTAGATATCGGGTGAGCCTAATGTCAATCCAGAAATATTAGCCGAAAACTTCATGAAACTCTCGGAAAGTGATACGTTTGGAGAAGGATCAATTTGAAAATCAATTTTGATTGGTTCTCTCATTCCACCTACCAGGCAACCAAAGATGCGCAAATTTCATTTAGAAATTTGAAATCAAGCCGAAAACTGAAAACTTTACTGTACAGAAATCTTCTGGAAGTGAGAAATTTGGAGAAGGACCAATTTGGAAATCAATTTTGATTGGATATCTTATTCCACCAGGCACCCAATTTAGAAATTTGAAATTAAGCCGAAAACTTCAAAGAAATCTTCTTGATTCTGATTACGAAAAGGGTCATAGCAGAAACTTCCGTGGCAGTCATTTGTAGAGAAGCTTGCGTGGCCAGTCATTTGTGTATGCCAACTAAGATTTTACGAGAAGTAAAGCGAGATACCGTACAATAATTCCAGTCCAACAGTTTCATTCCTTTTGGAGTTCGAGTATATTACATCTCATTTTCAACAAACAAAAGCAAAATTAAGGTAATAGTATTGCTTCTGAAGTACAGTATCAATAACAGCGACGATGATGAAAATGAACACTCTCGCGTTCTTTATCTGGCTTGCAGCAGTAAAAACCTCATCAGTGTTTGCGTCGCCCCGAATCATCAACGGTGAAGATTCGAAACCTGGCCATTTTCCCTATTACGTTTATCTTCCAGTGGGATGTGGTGGAACTCTCATTGCGCCCGATATCGTCCTTAGTGCAGCCCATTGTAACAAAGAAGTCAATGTAAACATGCCAGTTGCTGTTGGGTCTTACCAACGGTGGAACCCTCGTAGTCAGCCTCCACCACCGGGCTCCCAGATTCGTGTGTGTGAAGTATGGATCGATCATCCGCAGTGGGATAAAAATACGTTCACATATGATTACGCTCTCTGCAAGCTCAACGCAAATGCAACCATCGACGAATCCTTTGTCAAGCTCCAACTGAACGAGGATCCCGATGCGCCAGCTGTTGGGACCGATGTAATTGCCGCAGGACTGGGGGTTATTGACGATAGGGGGGGTCCTTATGCCCCCCCAATTTTTCCCAAAACATTGCAAAACGTCACCTTCCCAACAAGAAGCCAAGAGGTCTGTAAAGACATTCATTCAAAAGGCTCGTATCCTAATCATGTAATTGATCCGGTCACGACATTGTGTGCGGATTATGACATCAATGATCGGAAGACAGCCTGTAATGGTGACTCTGGTGGTCCACTTGTACAACGAGTAGGTAAGGGTGACGGAACCTTTGTCGACATCCAATACGGTCTCACCAGCTGGGGCGCATGGCCTTTTTGTGGAGATGGCGTTTTTGCCCGAATCAGTGGTGGACTAGACTGGATCAAAACCACTGCGTGCGGAGAGTTGAACGGTTCAGGTGCCTTTTGTGGCAAGTCGGAGTCGGAGCCATTGTGGGTCGCAAATTATGATTGGGACTGTGATGATCCCTCAAACAAATTTTTCTGTGAAACTGACCCACAATTGTATCAAGTTCAGATCACCCCTCCTGGGATCGATCCTGAACTTTGGCCATATGAAGAGACGAAAGCGCCGAAGAAGACCAAGGCACCGAAACGAACCAAGGCACCGAAGCGTACCAAGGCACCGAAGCGAGCCTAAGCACCGAAGAGGCAGGGCCTTCAGCATCGCAAGAAGAATTCATTGATGATGCATCAACAAATTTATCGGAAACAAAAGTAGGAAATACTGCGATAATGGTTTAATTTCAATTGAATGTTATGAAAGCGTAATTCTACGTACTCGATGCTACCAGATCTATGACTAGCTTGGTCGATTCTTACATTGACCTTTAGTTGTTTACACATCCCATACGCACAGTGTTTCCACGTACAAAAAGCTACCAGATCCCCGACTAGTTGGACTACAGTAGACTGTTGCTACATTGAGCTCCTGCAGGACGAGAGCATAGCAAGAACAATCATGTGTTGCATCTACATAGATGTAGTACTATATTTCCCCTGCTGTCTCATTTGCCCATGGCAGGCCAGCAGGACCCATCCTCCTCCAACAATGGGCAACACATGGCTCCTCCTCCGTTGACTGCGGTCACCATTGGGAGAATATGGCAACAAGAACAACCACCACTTCAAACACATCCCTCCCTTGTTGCTCCCACATGATAGTAGTACCCTGTAGTCAACACAACAACACACACCCATGGACAAACCTCAACCCAGCAATACCACAAATTGTTCCACAACTGGTGCTAACAACAAACAAAACAATCAATGTCACCACTGGATGGAATGAATTGCATACACATTATGTGGGAGGCATTACTAACAAGCATAGTATGGAGAACTGGGGTGACAGGAGATGGAGATGAGAGAGGGCTTGTTGTTTCCAATTTTCTTGTTCACCCTATTCAAAATCTATTTTGTTTTCTCTGTAGACAATATTTTAGTGGGGGATGTATCGTCAACAATCATTTGGGTTTCTTCTGCTTCTGCTGTGTGAACAAGGCTGACTATTTTATTTGCCTTTGCTAGTGCATTTTGTGCTTCTTGTTTCTATCTGGTAGAAGTTGATGAAGTTTTGACAGAGGAGGTCTGATTGGCAAAGGAGTGGACAATTTTCAAAAGCATGCAATGAAGTTTGAAGTGTTTTAAGTTCATTCACAATCATGATTAGTAGATATAGTAATTATAATAGCAGATGGTATCAATATTTGAAAGGATTAAAAGAGAAAATCATCGGATTAACTTCAATCGATCAAATTCCTTTTGTCTGTTCTACCTGCCACATTCCGTTCTGTCAAATTGTTCTTGTGAGGCAGTAACCACTCCATAATCACTAGTAACCAGTGCTGAATAGCCTCATTTTTCATTCTAAACCACCTACTGACATACACAGGAGAGCCTATCACCATTTCACAGGTTGTGATTTTGAACTGTTCTTGAAAATCAATCATGGAATTCAGAACTGAACATGATACTACGAGTTTTGTAACAATTGAAACCGGACTCCACCAGAGAGCAAAAGTTTTGATTGGAAGTTTAAATTTTTGATTTGAAGTTATGAACTTTTGCTTGTACTACATCATGTGCCAGGTTCTACTGAGCTAGTTTTTTTTAAATGACTGAATGACCGAATCTGTGAATTCCCCTCAAAACAAAACAAAATGGTTTGAGGTGATTCAATCATAAATCCTGGCCTTTCAATCATGAATGCCATCCAAAAACTAGCTCAGTAGAACCTAGTAGACTTTCTAGCAGTACATTTTGCAGTTCATAACTTCAAATTGAAGTGGAAATTATTACTTTTTGCTCTCTGGGAAAGTTCAGTTTCAATTGTTGTTGTCCGTAGGATATCAGACCGTGGGTATGATTCATACATACGACACGTACATACGATACGTATCTTCGATTCATACACACCATACATATATGACTCACGCGATCCCCTAGGATTCATACGATCGACGCGACTCATCTCATTCACTTGCGTGCGTGACTTGACTCATTCGATTCACACCTCACTCGAT